TAAACGATAATAGATATGTCGTCGCGTATTATCCGTTCTATCGACGGGGGTTTCATGAAGGCACCACACCCTTCACTCTTTGTTGCTGGGCTTTTTTTGTATTATGGATTATTTATTTTTTATTATAAGTGTTTTTGGAGTTTTTCTGGAACGGTAAGCTTAAGTGGAACTGATAACTAACGTGGAAAGGAATAGTCCAAGAACCATCATAAACGTGGCCCACACTGATTGCAACTGTCCCTCAGACTTATCGGTCACCCAAAAGGACAGCGAAGACAATGCAGCCAAGACAAAAAGCTGAAAAAACTGGTTAAAATACTGGAGGGCTTCGAAGCTGATCTCAAAGATGAACCGAAATGAAGCAGCAAGGAAAGAACAGGCGCCGTGGAACCTATGTCAAGTGGATGAAACAATGCTCCAGGGATGTTCAAGGTGCTTCAAGAGATGGCCATCGGTAGTGGCATCGCAGAACCAGTAGAGGACGAAAAGAAACGTGACGACATAAGTGGTGAAGTATCGCTCTTGAAGAATTCAGCCACGATCATGGGCAGACTGTAGGAGTCTCATCAGGAAAGAAAACGTCTAACATCAAGGACTCTGTGGATTTGGCCAACGGTTTGAAAGCCAAGCACGTACAGAGGGATGGAAAAGATAAGGAACAACGAAGTGAACTTTAAGGTGATCCAATGAAGGAACAAGGATGTCCAAGGTACAGGAACCAAAAACATGGTCCAAACGAATGGAAAGCCTTACACCAAATGCGAGACCTTAGGGTGCGTTTCTTTAAAAAAATCCAAGATTGGATTCTTAATCCGAGATCATGCGGATTCGTTATTTTTAAAGACACGAAAAATCCGAAAATGGATTTTTTTTTCAATTAGCCGTAACGACCCCAGCATGCAGTTCGCGTGTTTTGGGGGGAGTTTTCAAAATGGCGGAAAGTTTTGGTTTGATGTTTGAACTGTTCGAAGAAGTCCTTGCCGATGACCTTGAACAACAACAGGTTCTTTTAGGAGCCGATGACGAAGCAGTTTTATTCCTTTTGGCGGCCGGACAGCTCGTCCGAAAAGAACACGTTCGCACAAAGAATTTTTACAAAATAACCGTACCTAGTTACATACCGGAGGACTTCCGAAGTCACTTCCGCATGTCACGGCATACAGTTACAGTTCTCGAACATTTGCTTTCGGTCCACGGCGACTTACCTCAATGCACCGGCGATAGAGGAAGACCACCGGTCGAGTTAAGAAAGCAAATCCTTATTACGCTGTGGATTCTTGGGAATCCAGAATGTTTACGCTCTGTTGCCGATCGATTTGATGTTTGCAGGGCAACTGCGTACAGAGTCTACAGACGAGTTTGCAAAGCAATAGTGAGGAACTTAATGGATGAGTTTATCAAGTTTCCAACTGGTCTAAAAGCCCAAGCGGTGATGGAGGCCTTTGAAGAGAAAAAGGGTTTTCCGGGTGTTTTGGGGGCTATTGATGGCACCCACATAGCAATCAAAGCACATCATAACAATCATGAACAATACATAAATCGCAAAGGTTTCTTTTCCGTCCAACTACAAGTCATTTGTGACCCGGATTTATTCATAACCGATGTTTTCTGTGGTTACCCTGGTTCAGTACACGATGCTCGCGTGTTTCGTAATTCTCCGATCTGCCGAGAAGTTGAAGTGAACCCAGACAATTATTTTCCTGGCAACTCCCACATTTTGGGAGACGCAGCATATCCCTTGAAGAGGTGGCTGTTGACCCCATTTCGAGACAATGGACGTTTGACTGCTCAACAAAGACGTTACAATACTGCCCACAGTTCCACCAGAATGGTGGTTGAGAGGTCCATAGGGCTTTTTTAAGAACAGGTTTAGGAAGCTAAAAACAATGATGGATGTTGACAAAATTGAGGACATACCGAAATTATTGTATCCTCTTGCATCTTACACAACATTTGCATTATTGAAGATGACATCGATGATTTTTTAGATGACTCTAATGATGATGATGACAATGATGACAATGATGATGACATCTTTCCACCAGGTGTAGGAGCAGTTGATAAGAGAAACATGATAATGAGACTGATCCCATAAACCTAGCATTTATAAGTGGTTTATGTATTGATACCTTTTGTACTGTGGTGTTTTCATGAACACTTCTTTCATAGGTGGTGTATGTCATTCATAAAGTTTATACTGTATAATAGTCTTTTTGCTATAAATATCAATATTTTATTTGTTTTTAAAAGTATATAAGAAAATAGTAGAGCCATGTACGTGGATCACTTTATACTACCTGAAACATTTATGGTGTTGCTTGAAATGTAAACTTTCAACACAAATGTAACAGCCTAATACTCTGACAGTCCAGGTTGCTTGTGTCACGCACAGAAAGGAGGAAGTGCGTGACACAAGTGATCTGAAGCATCTGAGAATCAGGCTAAAAAAAGTAAAGGATATAAATAATATCAAAACCAGTTTAGTTAGGCCCTCTCACCTAATGTTGCTGTTGTAGTTCCTTGTATGTATGTGATAAAAAAAACATACAACTTGCAATAATACTGTTAACATGTATGATATAATAAACTTTTAGATAACTCAATACTGACAACAAACTCAGGTTTACTGTATCTATGTTCATGTTTGTGGTCAAATAATCCCATGTTCTGCAACACAATAAAAAAATTATGGAATCAAGGTTACTCTTTGTTCAATGATTTTTCAAAAACATTCAAAAATCGGCCCATGAGTGCCATGCGTTCATTGTGCATATTTTCAAACTTTTTAATCTTTTCCTTTTCTTCCTCTTTCCTGTCTTGTGTAAATTCCTTTAAAGAGCCCAACTTAAAGAGCCCAACGAGGTCTTCTCTTTTCTTCCGCTCTGGTAACTTCTTTTTCTTTGCTTTTTGTAACCACAGGCTCCTCTGTGTCACTACCTGTGGAACTCAATGTGGAACTGGAATTTTTAACACTCTTGACTGCATCTTTGCTCCATTTACCATCAATGTTGCTGCACAATGTTTTTGGAGCGATGGCATCATCTTTCGAAAATATTTCGTGAAGTTTGTCATAGAAGTTGCATTTCTTTCGGTCATTTCCGCTGACTTTGTTGTGATCAACACAAGCAACATAACTTCTCTTCAGATTTTTCAATTTCGTCTCACACGCCTTGGCATTAAAGAACACTCCGTTCCTCTTTAATTCTTCGCTGATTTCTTCCCACAGGGACTTGTTCTTTTTGTTTATATCTTTAAATCGTTCTCTGCGTTCGACATAGCAGGAAATTAACAACAGCACATCAGCTCTAGACCAGCGTACAAGAGCTCTCGATTCGCCGGTGCCTTCAATTGACTGACTGAACGTGGCTGCAGCTGTTTCAAAGAAGAAAAACTTGGACCAGGCTGAGGTGATACTGATCTGACTGTTTCATGGCTGAACTGTGATGCCTCGCGGTGGTGGGAAACATGAACTGAGGAAGATAAGGTTGAATGCCCGGTTGAACGTGGCTTTCGCTCCACTGATATTCTGGATATTCACCTGCAGATAAACTGTGCGTCCAATATTGTCCTGTAGATAGAAATAAAAGATGCCAAGACGCATCAAACATCCGGAAAATTTATAAAAATACGTACAGGACGGAAAAATTTCGGTGAAACTACACAAAAAAACTCACCTTGTTTATTCGCCATGGCTGGCAGCAGCTAATATTTACAACAAAATGGTGGGAATGTGGGATTTTAAGAAGACGACAGCTTGCCAAACGTACTGCTTTTTGTATCCGTGCAATAAAGAAACGCACGGATCATGAATCCTAAAAATCCGGATTTAGATTTGATCTAATGAATCCACTCGGAGTGTGGATTCTATAGATTCAAAATCCATTTTCGGATTTTATTAAAGAAACGCAAAATCCGTTTTTGGATTCAAGAATCCGGATTTGGAGTTTTTTAAAGAAACGCACCCTTAGTGAAGATTGCTTAAAAGGAAGGGATCAATCAACTGACATAACGGAAACAACCAATGGAACATTGCAAACAACCAAAGGAAAGGCGAAGGAACGTGTGAGGCGCGTGGTGAAGCGGGAAAAAGGAACGAGAAGTGATTTGCTTCTTTAAGGAGGTGTGGTGCCCACAGTCGTGCGCCACAGCTCAGCTATTAGCCCGGTTTTGTTTGCGCATGGCTGTTTCTAGTTCAGGAATAGGTCCACAGGCAGTGTACTGTCTTCTAAAGTGTGGCTTCGTATAAATTGAAGGACACGGTGATAGGCGGGGGCTGCAAGGTCTCCACAGTAATGTTGCTCAGATTCACAAGATACAGTGCAGGTAAGAAAGGGTCCTTCGAAGATACGTTTTAGGTGCCAGGCACATGGTTGGTCTAACATATCCAAGTGATTGGCAAGGTATTTCAAAATACATATTAGGGATAAAAGGATATTTTGTTGCCGAGTAAGAGTGACTGCAGTAGTAGTGTGTAGATTTTCTTTTGTATTGAGACGAAGTCCATATTTCCAAGGTACATGTGGAGACTACTCTGGTCAAGAAAGTAGATATTTGCAATGGCATCAATCCCTACTGCGCACTCAGCTTTCTTGACCCGTGTTTGAGAATGGAATTGCTCCCAAAACGTCTGGGTGGATGTTTTCTTGGCGTGGTGTTTGGTTTAAAGAACAGCTGGTGCAAGGTGAAGGTGCGAATGAGGATGCCAAGGTGTGCGGCCTCTTATAAGAGGAGGAGGAGTGGCGAAAAAGGAAAAATATTGCTAGTTGTTGCCTTTTGAAATCGGTCAGGAATGAACCACTAAGAATGTTCCAGAAGAGATGACTTACATTTCTCTTTTCCTTTCCAAACATTACTTACCATACAATTCAATCGAAATAGCACTGAACCTCTCACCTTTCTGTTTGAGTGAGTTAGTTGTAGAGTTAAGAGTTTGATTTCCAATAGATGAAGGCTTATTTGAAGCATCAGCACATCCAAAGTAAAAGTGTTGGATCCACTGATTGAGCTAGTCTAACAAGAAGTAACTTTGCTTGTTAATGACATACTTGAGGAACTCCTTGGTTTCATATTGAAGAACCCCCTCCAAAACATTATGCATCGTATCTCCTGGGAGACCTTCGACTTCATGAAAATAACGAGACTGGTTCAAAATGGAACGATGGTTTATGCCATAAACACCCGTTACATCAGCATCTGAAAGCTCAATGGATGTGCAGTTGTTATTGTAACCATCGCGAGTTCTCAACTGAAGATCATCTGAAAACTGAAAAAAGGTTATTAGGAAGGATATGGAATCTGAGAATTAATAAAACATATATTTGTCTAATTTTAACATGTTTCTATTTCTCCTAAAGTAAAGGCTATAGGCTATGCCGTCTTTTAAGTAACATTTTAAAATAGTTGAGTACAGCGTTTAATGACATTGAAAGCATAATTGAGGAACTTGGCAATTAACAAGTAGCTTGTCATTTCTGTCTGTCAAATCAGACTGATTCTGCACATTGCTATTCAGCTTTAGTATTAAAATTTATTAATAAATTACTTCCAACCAGAGAGTAAAATAAATCATGAATGAGATACCATTGTTTTGATATACTCAGCATCCCCCATGCACTCCCTACCTTTCAGTGCTGCAGCAGGACCAATCTTAACGCCTCCAATGTCTTGGATCCCAAGTTGTCTCCAGATAAAAATGCTAAGGTGCCTGCAAATGACCTTAGATGCCCATTTATAGTAAACTGGTGCCCACCATCCTTACGAAGAAAAATAATAGAATTTCAAAACTAAAATTTTAATGATGCGCTGCATTGTCATATCCATTCACTGACATATTTAATAAAATCATTTTACTTGACCCAACAAACAGTTACCAACAACTAGTGAATTACAGCGAGAGGTAAACGAAAGAAGACGATAGATTTAGTGCATAATAGTACGTAGTATTCTATTACCTATTTCACGGGTCAAATAAAATCATTCTAAAGCACAGATAGATATATCCCCTATTACAATAAAATGTAATTAAATACATATACATTAAACCTAGTGAATATTCTTAGTTATGATTATATTAGCTGTTTAAATTGTATTGTGAACTTTAAGTAACCTAATTCAGTGAGGAATACAAGTCAATATTTGTAGTTGTTGGTACTGCCAAACTATTAACGGCATCATCACACTGCTGTCATTGGTAACACCAATTTTGATAAACCTCTCTCGGTTTGAAAAACAGAATTCAATAAGTGAAAAAAAAGAAAATCCGCTTTCTCTTCTCTTTAAGTGATGTTGTTAGAGTTCAGTCTTAGGAGGTGAGAATTTGAACCAAGACAATTCTATCAGTTTGTTATATCCATTGTACCTGCTCTAATAAGGACAGATCATGCATAAATGCTTGTAGAATGACATTGATTCCATACTTCTTGATAACAGGTCATTTTGCAATTGACACTATTTGAATGCACTTGAGTTGTGACTGGTGCAATGGATTTATGTTACCCGGAGTATTGTAGAAAACTCCTGTAAAATAAAGACAATATGTCATATTTGCTCCTCCTACTAATGTTGACAAGAGAGCTCAATCTTAGCAACAAATTTTGAAATATAGTGTGTTAGAGCCTAATTTCATCCTTGGCTTCACACTTATTTTTCTTTGTATTTAGGTATGGTAATGTATGATAATGGTTTCAAAAAGTGATAAAATTGAATTACAACATAAACAATCCAATAAGCAGATGAAAACAGAACCAATGTCATTGCTAAGAAGAATCTAACCATTAACTGTTTGAATGATCCCAGAACCTAATAACTGATCATGTTAAGTAATAAATGTATTATTCCATTGTTCCACAGAATTAATAATTATTGGTGTCAACGTGTCAACATCAAAGTAAATAAGTTCTGAGTTGGACTGGAAAGATTGCATAGTTTTGTAATGTCACACACTCTTACCCCTTAACTAGCCGGTCACTACTATGAAGATTTCACACTACGTATCTCCTTACAAACAAACGTAACACAATTCTATTGGCAACGTAACTGCTATGAAAGTAAGAGCTGAAACAAGCCAAACGACTGACTATTTGATTGGTGAACAGAGTATTTTTTTTTAAAGAATAACTGATTAGACTTACCAAACTTGTGCTTGGAAGTTTTACTTCCCAGAGGATTTACAACTGCCACATCGTCATAATAGAGAAAAATTTGGATTGCCTTTGCATCGCTAGAGAATAGTGGATGATTTGCACAAACATTTCTATCGCAAAAGTCTGCAATAATGCCATCCACTCTTTGATGTGTGTTTTCTACCTGTATATATCAAGTTTGTTCAATGGAAGCATGTACTTAGGGGGAGGGTAGGACATCAATATCACACTATCATTATTTTTTACGAGAATAATGTGCTATTCATGCAAGTGATATGTAAGCACACTAAATATATTAGAATGTTAGAAAATCCCGCCGCACCCTTAACGTTGAAAGCCATAACCCTTATATACTGATTTATTCATTATTATTGATAAATGTTTTACGACTATCGCTAACATTGAACACTGAAATTTGACCACCAGCTTTGGCCTACTTGTGTGTCTTGGCTTTCTTTTGTGTCTTGGCCTACTTCAGTTACTTGGCGTGCTTGAGTGTCTTGGTATACTTTTGCACGCCAATTAACGCTAAAAATAATCACGCGAAGGCCTCAAATTCGTGCAAGGAATTTCATAACGAAAATTCCCCCCCCCCTTCCATAACTTTTCTAATGGTCGGTCCCTAAGAATATTTCTTGAAACTTTTCTTTCTTAGAAGGACATTGCTTCCGTACAGTCAGTCGCTATCACTGCTTCATTGTTTAGGCTGACACGACATTGCAAAGCGAGTGATCATATGTGTGTAGTTGATGATCGTCAGCGTACATAAATTGATCGCAGTTATTTATGCTGTAGTATAGATCATATTGAAAATATGTGACGATTCAAGCTCTGAAAATTAATCAAGGAACTGATAATTTTTTGGTTTAATGGGATCATAAAACAAAATATGTAGGGCACGACTTCCACTGTGCAACATTTGAAATAATCGCCTCCCCACGAGAATTAACATGTAAGTCTTCTTTATTATTATTCTTCCATATCATTCTTTCAAATCTAAAAAGTTTTTGTTTTCTCAACATGCGAACACCCATGTTTCGTAAAGGGGTGACCGAGATGTTGGCCAAGACTTCGCTCGACACGAAGAAGGATTCAAATATAATTTTCATGGGCAAGGATTGGGAGAATTGAGTAGGTGTCCATGAGCGTTTGTAGAGAAGCTCTTTAACCTACGTATTATAAATATTTGTCCAAAAATTTAACTTGGCAAACGTTTTATTTGTAAAAATTTATTTTAACAGGATGTTCAACAATTCTGTAAAAGCAACAACGATCCTTAGCTTTGAAGTTTTACATTTAATCTCATGCCCATTACCATTTGTTGTGCCATTTGTAAAACGACTGGCACACAAACCATGAAAAGGGTAAAATACCTGGTACATGCCTCGGTGATACAAGTAATTCCTAATTCTAAACATAAACCGCATAATCATACCACCATTGGTCAGATTTCTATGCCGAGAAAAGAAACAATAACCCTACTAAAGATGAACATAGGACTGGTTAGGGAGATGAAGGAATGCTCTTTTCTTTCCTCTGATGTCCTCTCTGTCTCTTAAAGTTATCAGTTTTATCAAAGACTAACCTACAGGAAACTTGCTCTGTAGGCTAGCAATAATGTGTGCACGCGCCGTCCCTTATTCACTCTTTCGTAGACCCTTTCACAAAAACATAACTGAAGTTTCAGTTTTTCGTGAACGAAAGTATAATCTGTTCATGTTGTGTTTTGGTTAAGTGTTTAATCTTCGCAGATACTTGAGAAGTAGATTTCCTTGCAGACAACTCCTCGAGTTTATCAGACACTGCTACAAAGTTGTACAACGTCGCAACGTTAAGTGAATTAATTGGAAGTTCGTTAAACACTAGAAGTTCTTCACAAACAATTAAACAACGTTTCCATCAATCTCCATGGTCCCTGGGTCACGAGGACATTTTGGCTCGTCAAAAATTCAGTTCCACATTTTCTCTTGTAGCTGGATACCGTTTCTCTTCTTCGTTTTCTTCCTGTGCCCAGTGCAGTGCAAACTCCTGTTTGGATCGTATTTCCGCAGTTGCGGCATTTGCACCTCTCGGTGCATCCGATTCCTTCTGTAGCACATGGACACTTCATTTTTCTTTTGCCATCTTTGCACGACACACGGTCTGTATCTTCCTTGGTGAATTTTTACCATATGCACACGGCCCGCCGTTACGTCTGCGCGTTTTAATACCGCTTGGTCTAACGAATTTAGTGTTGGTTTCATTCTTGGAATTGTAGCAGCGACATTTCCTTGAACAAGCTTGACTTTGCTTGTTGCATGGGCATCTCGCAGTAGTACAAGCAATTTTGGAAGGATCTTTAACATTCTTGCCACAGGTACAACGTGTGCTGAAAAGGTTACCTTGTAGGGAATCATCATTCATATCCAGTAAATCTGCGAAGAGAGGGGAAGAACACAAAATGTAAGAACAATAGTTCTTTTCTATAATACTGTTCGAGGTAAATGTTTGCTCTATATTATCACTCTATGAACAAGAGTTCTCAAATACAAACAATGAATGGTCATAAATGAACAAACCAGAAACTGCTTTTCTGTTAGCCAGAGAAATAACCGGACATTAAATGAGCTTGGAGTTCAGCGTGCTTTTGTGAGTGTTTATGAGAAGAACTGACCAAAAGTAACGTTAAAAGAAAGCTTTGAAATCCATTCATAAAAAAAAATAAAAAAGCATTCAGTTGGAACAGGCAGGAAAAATACATACTCGTAAATAAATGTAAGGAACATAATAAACCGAAGTGCCCTGACGCTCAGGACCCCTTTCCTAGTAAAGGGCCCTGTTTGTTTCAATGCGTCTGAAAAGATGGAAATGAGTTGTCCCGTTACACGAATAAAATTTATCAAGCTTCAAGTAAATATATTTGTAATTTTCCTTGTTCGTAGAAAACTTACCGTAAATGATCTAATAGACGCGTAGGGCGTTTACTTAGTTCCAGGAGTCAACGAGACTAGAGCGTTAAATGGACAGAATCTTTGCCTAACTACTGAATAAGCTTTCAGAGAAATTATCAAGGGAGTTTATCATTTGGTTCATAAATAGCATTTTAAATTATCATACTCATTTCTGTTCATTCCTTATAATTTTGGAATAACTATCACTGGGGGGGAGGGGGTGTGATTTAGAAGATCTTAGACAGGGGAGCGTTTATTTCAGATTGGGCGTCAATTAGGTCATTTACAATATCCAGAAAACTTGTTCACGAGTTCTCTGCTCAACAGTGTTTAAGATATGTGAATTGTCACTACATACCTCTCGTCGCGTCATAATGCCCTGGACCTGAATGGTCATACGCCAAGTAAATAGGTATAGCAGTGAGGAAATATTTTGGTAGGAACAGAATGGAAGGGACAGTTGATAAGGCTGTGATTAGAACAATTGGGCTGCAGAGCAGATTTGTACAGGCCTTTGCACAGATGTCGCCAAGTTCACTAGCAAAATGACCATCATTTTTAAAAAGTTCAATTTCCTTTGCAAGTTAGTCGCTGGTTGTCCACTCTGGTTGTACTCATCGATTTTTTCCGTGACTTCACAAACGAAGAGAAACCTTAGGTTCTCAGTGTCTCGTTCCTCATTAATTCCAAGACCCAACGAGGAAATATGTTGACAACTTAGCAATTCCAAACCCTGTACTAAGTGTTTTTGTAACTGTCGAGCCGTTGCTCTGAAGAAGCAGTTTCCATCTGTCTTTATGGGGTCTACCTTGAGATCATATCCTGAGAGATTTCTTGTCATGTTATCTTCGTGTTGTGTGGTCAAGCTTAATTCTATGCTGTTCAAAATTGATTCCTGTTCAAAAAGGTTGGCTTACGGTACGTTTCTTTGCCATAGAAGGTCAATCAAATCCACTGTTTTGTTTCTACATTTTGTTGTCAAACAGTTAATAAACTTGTGTAAGCATAACACTCTCTAAAATGTATACCAAGACGGAGTCTTCTCTCAGTTCTTTGTAGCTGAGCCAAAAATCGATAGATCACAAATAGATAAATCATAACTTAGGTAAGTTAAGGCATCGGGCAAAGTGTACTTTTTCGCGAAGCATGAAGCTCTAAATTGAGTAGACCTTGAGATTTAGATTTACATCACAAAGACCAAGGCCAACACCCCTTTCTAAACTCCAGATACCTGGGCGTTTATGTAAAGCCTGCTTGATAACTTTGTCTGAATTTTAGCGATTATATTTTCTTACTTATAGTTAAAACAGTATTTTGTAATTGACCCAAGACGTAGTTTATCAGACACAGAACTGTCTAGGCAATGTTCACTTTGTAATAATTAGACAGTGAACATTGCCTAATAAGGACGTAATTGTTCGTTAAGTAATTTCATTTTATGTGAATAACAGTGAGGAGTATGGCAAAGTTGGAAAAATGTGTTTTGAACTTAAAAAAAAATAAAGAAAAAAGAGATTAGCGAAAAGCTAATTAATCAAGTGTTATTGCTTTTCATGTTTTAAAATGACAACTGTTAGCATGCCCCGCTTGATATACTCTTGGTAATTTGAAGATCCTGTAAAATAACTTTCAAAAAATAAAACGTTTGTCCCTTTTAATTTTTGGGAATATATTTTACATATTAAGGTTATATGGTTTCTCTGCAAACGAGTTTTTCGGTTACTCTCATTAGCACATACTCGCCTCCCAGATCCTTGCCCACGCAAATTATATTTGGATCCTTCTTCTCGAGCGATGTCTTGGCTGACATCTCGGTCACTCTTCTAAGAAACATGGGTGTTTGCTGCTTGTTGAGGAAACGAATACTGGAAAGATTTCAAAGAATAATACGGAAGACGAATAATAAAGAATTAAGACTTACAAGTTTGCTACACAGCTGTTTTGAATTATGTGCAACCTTGCAAGTTACAACATGCCCAAGACAGTCCCTGCATTGTACCCTTGGATACAACACCGACACAGTCTTTAGTACAACACTAAATGACAAATACACACATTAAATTCTTCGCGAGTGCAGTTCACACAGGATCAAGAGTCCGTCAACGGCTTACAAAGGCTCTAATAGGTCAAAGCAATGGAATGAGAATATTCTAATCTTTCTTTGTATAAAAAGTTGGACTGAACCCAGTAGTAGTAACTGTGTTTTTAAATTCCAGTGTGCCACTACATTCTTGAACCTCTCCCCAGTATCACTTCATCCATGAACAGAAATAATGGGGGTAAAAAGGACTTGTTTGTCAAATATCGAACCATCTTGAGTTAATTGTTGGTAATTTCAAACAACTAATATTCTTGAAAGTAAAATTAGTGTCTAATAAATGACCGGCTCCTATGATGTTTAAGTTTACGTCCATGGTGCATTTCGTTGGAGCAACAACAACATTTAATATACCGTATTTATTCGAGTATATGCCGAGCGATTTTTGCACCAAATTAAACTGGAAACTAGTGAAAGCTCTACAAGATAGGGGGTTCGGCTTGTAGCCGAATATTTTTGCCAAAAAAAAATTTTCTAATGCTACAAGAGCTTCATTTGAATGTTTATATTCGGCTATAAGCCGAGCAATTATCAACAACACAAATTGCCGGTAGTTTGCGTACGAAAATCATTGCTTTTGGTCATAAACTTTTATTCAAGTGGTGGCTCCTAAAGGAGCCGTTTTGTTTTGTTTTGTTGAGTTCACGAATGAAGTTTTCATTCATCTTCTTCTTCGCTGTCGCTTTCAAACTCGTCCTCCATCGCCATATCATCGTCTTCTAGTTCTGGCATTTCATCAGCGTAGACCTCATCATCTTCGGTGCCGTCAAGAGCGTTCGAGATACCGCACGTTTTGAACGATTTCCTCACCATCTCTGCTGGAATTTCTGCCCATGACTGCTTTACCCATTTGAGGACCAGGTTTCTCGACGGCGCTTTCTTCTTTCCCGCTGGAGTGAATTCAAAGGGGCCAGTCATCATCCAGGAAAGGTACTGTCGCCTAATGTTGTCCTTGAATGGTTTGTTGAGGCATTTGTCCAACGGCTGCAGGACTGGAGTCAGGCCACCCGGGATTACTGCCACGTTGAACTTACGCCGCTGCAGGTCTGCTTTCACGGACTCCGTCAAATGGGCTCTAAAAGAATCCCAAACAAGCAGCGACCGTTCATTGTCAGGATTCCTCGGCACACAGGTTCCTATCCATTCTTTTACACCTGAAATCAATAAGAGAATACCCAGGTTAAAAATACATCGACAATTCCGAAAATCAGTTATCTGAGTATAACAGACTTTGAAGTAAAGAAAGAAACACAACCATAATTTACCTTTCTCATCCATCCAGCCCTTCTTGTGGAACGATACACGAACAGAGTCTGGAACAGCGAGGTCTCGTGGAGTTCTTACACCTTTGAAGATCACTGCAGGCGGTAATTTGCTGCCATCGGCGGCGACTGCCAGTGTCGCCGTAAAGCTCCTCTTCTCGGCACCACAGGACTTCACTGGAACGGTTCTGCTGCCACTGAATTCAAGGGTTCTGCTCGATGGAAGCTCAAATCGCATAGGGGTTTCATCCATATTGAAGATTCTTGAAAGCGAATAGCTATGGCGCTGCCGAGCTGCAATCACGAACCGATGGAACTGGATCGTCTTCTCTTCCAAATCTTGAGGAAGTCGCTGGGCCAGGGTTGTCTTCGTTCGAAAGCTGATGGCATGGCGCTTTTTCCAATTCTGGTACCAACCCAGGGAAGCTTTAAAGTCTGGATCACTGCACAACTCCTTCGCCTTCAACCGAAGAATTAATCCGCTAACTGCGATTCCTGTAAAAGAAAAAACGAGTAGCGATATTTTTAGATCATTGTTTTGACAACATTGGAAACTGACCAATCACAAGCTGTCGTTCTCACGGCTTTAGTAAACATGGCAACTCGATCGATATGACAGGAATCAGCTGGTTTTGGTTGAAAACGAAGAACTTACCCTGACTTCTTTGCTCTGAAAACCACTCCAGAAGTGTTTGATCCAATTCCGGATACTTCGGCGCATAACAGCCCATCGTCTTTCGTTTTGCTGACATTTTCAGCTCGCCATTGAAGAGGTTCACTTGATCTTTTCGCCAGCGACGAACCATGGATTTACTGATGCCATATTCTCTGGCAATCTCGGAGTTGTTCTCAACGGCCTCTGCCTCAGCCACAACTTTTAATTTGAAGGCCAAGTTGTACGATGAACGACGAGCTTTTAGCATGATGATCGATTACGGATAACTTTGAAAGAGCGTGTGATTGCAATTGTTTGAGACAGGATTCTGAACTCAGGTGATGGTTTGTCATGCACGCGGTTTTATTTATACACTTCTGACACATCATCACATTAAATTCATCTTAACTGTGATTTTTTGTTATTTTCAGTTAAGTGAACGATAACATTAAATGTGTTGTAATGAATATATCAATAAGTGAATATTCATTTTACCATTACGTGTTTCCCGAGAGGGACGTTTCTTTTGTTTTACGGTTTGCCGGTATAGAAATATTCGATCTCGGTTTATAGCTAGATGTTTTGGGTTTCCTTTTCATAATTTCCTAACAGGTTCTGATACCCAAAAGTTTAGGGTCTCGGCTTATAGCCGAGATCGGCTTATAGGCGAATAAATACGGTAGTGCGCCCTTTCCATATAAATAATCAAAATAGCAACTGGATCATTTTAGGTTTGCCTTAAGTCTACCTCTACCAGGTATTTATTTTCTTGAAAGAATTTTCTTTCCTTCGAAATCAGTCTGCAGGATACTTTTTTCTCGCAAACACTCATATCCTCTCCTAATTAAAAGCCATACCAGAAGTGTTGTGTAGCCTAGGCAGACAAACCACAACTTCCAGTATACCAAGTCACTGAGGTAACTTACGACCGCCAAGAAACCAGTCTAGAATATAGCAAGACAAGCATCTCATGTAGTTCAAGAAACTTAAGCTAGGTACCTCAAGCACGCCAAGTAACTGAAATTAAGGCCAAGACACTCGAGCACGCCAAGTAACTGAAGTCGGCCAAGACACTCAAGTACGCCAAGTTACTGGAGTAGGCCAAAAGATTTAAGTAAGCAAAGTACCTCAAGCAGGCCAAGTAACTTTTCATTTCTAATTCTTCCTTATGTATTTCCTGAAGATGGTCATTTTTTTCTCTCAGATAGGCTACTGTTGCATTACCACTTGACCTCTTCTTAAATTTTCTTCCTTCATTTTCATCATCATGGGACTTCTTCCTCTTCTTTGTCTGCCCAATACTTTCCATTGCTGTTTTTCTTATGTCTGTTGCATTTTCTTTATATTGTTTTTTTGGTCATCAACTACTCAACTATTCTCTGCTCAGACTCAGCCGCATTCTCTCTTCAATCAAGTTTTCATTACAGCTTTCTCCAAGTTTGTCATCTCAGTCTCTATACCACTTGCTTTCTCTTCATTTTTGATTTATTTCCTCAGATCCCTTGGAAGATTGTTAGAGCGGTCACGCACTGCCCTCTTATCCACTTGAAAATGTACATCTTGGAGTTTGTTTAGGTTTTCAGCTACCTTTTCCAATTTTGCCCCTCTTTCCACATTACTCCTTTTGGTGCCACAAAACACATTTACAACCAAGATTTCTTTACAAAGCAGCTCATCCTTTTCTCCATTCCAAATCATTGGTTTCCTAAAACATGATACACATCATCACAAATTAAATTATGCCTCGAGATCCCAGACTGCAGACTAGATCAAAAAAGCCACATAAGAACATGCGTAAATATTAAAATTAACAGATGTTTGACATGATTATCATTCGTGGCAAAAGAAAAACGAATATAATATGAAACGTTCAGCCTATAAAAAAAAAACAGCCCGGC